GTATCCGTAGAGGTGCAGGACTTTAAACTGGAGTGAACAATACGTCTACAAATGTGACAGAAACACTCAGAGTGCTGCTTGGTGTTCAGAAGGGTTAGGCTTAGATTTGGTGAATTATCCTGACAGAACCACAAGTCACACACGAAGCGTTCTCAGACTGTCGGAAAGCTGAAAATGAGATAAATTTTTCTGTTTTTACAGTTTGTTTCACTGATGAATGGTGTAATTTTGGCGATTTTTCAAAACATAACCATCCTTCAAAAGTTGGTTTCGGGGCTGCAAAGGAGTGCAAAGACAGTAAAACTTTTATTTCAGCGGTGATGATGATGATGATTAAATCCCTCATTGATATAATTTTAACCAGACTTGCTTGTTTATATCTTGCTCGGGGCTGTGTGTGTTCATTTTATCTGCATTTCCACCGTGGATGTGGCCTTTATGACGGCTGTAAATCCGCCCTCTGTACCTGTTCCCTGCACACAGATAAGCCTTTAGCACTGTGGACAAACCGACTCCACGGCAACACCGAGGCCGACATGCAACTTATCTCAGCCCGACACGCATGCAGGCGCACGGATGTTTCGACAGGATCTCGAACGCACTTCGACTCCCACTTTTTCTGCATCGTCTGTCATCCTCCCTCCATCTCTGGCTCACCTCCTCGCTCTTTATTTCAACATTTGTTCCACACTCGCTCGCTCTTTATCTTTCTACCTTTTTTTTTTTTATGTTTCTCTCCTCCTCGCTGGCAGTGTTGTCATGGCGACGGGGATGAGAAACCAGACAGCCACTTCAACTTTTAACAACAAAGGAGGCGGCACCGACTTCCATCAGCTGCTCCCGGCTCCGAGCGTCCTCCGACTCTCACACCTGTTTGACTCGTTCTTCTCCTGCCAACCGCTTCGTCTTTATGTCTTCCTTCACCTCCCACCTTCTCATTCCCTCGGTTATCGACGCCTATAAATATCTTTTTATTTTGAGGTACCTGCCTGGAAAAGCTACAGCTGCACATATGGCACAAGAAAAACCAAAAGTCAGAAGTTTACATACACTCAGATTACGATGCCTTCAAGCCCCAGATGATGATGTCATGGCTTTGGAAGCTTCTGATTGGTTAACTGACAACATTTGAGTTAACTGGAGGCACACCTCAAACACACTGCTTCCTTTGGTGACAACATGTAGCATCTAAAGAGAACTGTGGACCTCCACCAGTCTGGTCCAGATGCCTGAAGGTTCCACGTTCATCTGTTCAGACAGTTCTATCAGTAGAACCACCATGCCTGGACATGGCTGGACATTCCAGCCATCATAGGCTCAGGAAGGAGACGGTTCTGTGTCCAGAGATGAAGTGTTCTGGTTGAAATGTGCGAATCAACCCCAGAACAGAAGCTGAAGACCTTGTGAAGATGCTGCTGAAGCTGGTCAGAGAGTCATTATCCACAGTGGAACCAGTCCTGTACCGACATGGGCTGGAAGGCTGCTCAGAGAGGAAGAAGACATCACTCCAGAAGAACCATAGAAAAGACAGATTACAGTCTGTAGATGCACACAGGGACAAAGAGCTTCATCAGTGGAGACATGTCCTGTGGTCTGATGGAACTGAACCTGAACTGTTTGGCCTTAATGACCATCGGTACATCTGGAGGAAAAAGGAGGAAGCTTGAAGCCTGAGAACACCATCCCAGCTGTGGAGCACGGGGGTGGCAGCATCATGCTGTGGAGGGACTGGTGACCTTCACACAATAGATGGCATCATGAGGAAAGAACATGATGTGGAGATATTGAAGCAACATCTCCAGACATCAGCAGGAAGTTAAAGCTTGGACACTAATGGGTCTTCAGATGGACAATGACCCTCAGCATAGCACCAGATTAGCTACAGAGAGGCTTCAGGACAACAGAGTCAGTGTTGTGGAGTGACCATCACAAAGCCCTGATCTCCATCCTGGAGAACATCAGTGGAGCAAGGAGACCAACAAACCTGACCCAGTTCCACCAGTTCTGTCAGGAGGAATGGGCCAGAACTCATCAGACTGTTGTGAGAAGCTTGTGGAAGGAAACCCAGAAGGTTTGACCCAAGTCATAGAGTTTAAAGGCAACGCTAGCAGATACTGAGGAGATGGATGGAAACTTCTGACTCTGGAGAACGTCATAAAAAACTCTCTCTCTCATGAAGCTTGTATGTCTTCTGGTTTCAAACTGCATCAGTCTGCGTCTCGTCCACAGTGGCGTTAATTCACCTGCTCTAAATCTCAGCCCAAGCCAGTTAGTAGATTCTGGTTAAACCTGTAGAGGAAACCAGATTAGCTCTGGATCTGCTGTCATCGGTCCAACAGAAATAGCCCGCCAGCTCGCGTTTTCATAGCTCGTTCTTAAATGCTATTTAACGCAATTAGCTGCGGGTCCGGTTTCTTGTCCGGTCGCTTTTCCGGCTCAGAGGCTTTGATCTCAGCCGACTACAAACATCCACGGCTTTTGTTCGTCCTTCGGTTACAAACATCTCAGGCTACAGCTGAGTGATGTTTTTATCAAGATGTGAACAATTAGCTCTGGTCTTTCATTTGAAGGGCATTGTTTCTTCATTTTCTCTTCAGATTTTTCTAACGTGTTTCCTTTAATTTTCAAACAGCCTTTGCTCAGAACAAATCTTCTCTAAACAAACGTCCTGTTCTTCAGTTTGATGCATCTCCTCGTCCTTTTACTGCTTTGTGCGCTCGCCAAGCTTCTGCTCTCAGATTTGTTCTCCAATAGCAGCAACAGCCTTCCTCTTATAATCATAAAAAACAATTTTAAAGAAGCATATCGATGTTTTTAATGGCCTTTGGTTGTTCTTAATGGTTCACATTTTTAATATTTGAGGTTTCTTACAGGTTGTTATCCTGTTTTGCCGTGTTTTCATATCTCAGATGACTTTATTGTCTTTTAGAAATTGATTACGTTGCCTGACTGTGCAGCATTTCCACCCTCCAGAGCTAATTAAACATCAATCAGAGCCTCCTCAGAATCAAGAGATTATTTTTGTATTCAATGAAGCACAGTGTTACCTTCACATGAGTTGCAGGCCCGTGAAGTACATAAAGCAGGTTGAAATTTCACTTTTTAATGGACTTTTTCCATAATTTCTGAAGATGTAAAACTGATCTGGTTGCAGTTTTTACCAGAACTCAGATGTGTTTTTAATCCTGAACATGTCACGCATCTGTCTGCTGCACTGATGACGTTATGAGGCTCAGAAATGATGGAAAAAGTCCATTAAAAAGTGGGAAATTTGGACTTGAATCTCTGCACTTCAAGGACCTGTAACTATAAAAATATTCATAGTTTTAATTGTAGAAAATAAATCAGCTGATTTTGAGGAGGTCAGGTTGGAAGACACTGATTTTTTACAGACTCTGGAGCATTCATCTGCACAAAAAAGTCTAATTTTTAACTACTTTTGATGCCAAGATCACCTTCTACACGTTATTCATTCAGTTTTCTAAAACTGTGCATTATTGAGCATTTAAAAACCAGCTGATCCTGAGGTGGCTGGCTGGGAACTTTAGGTAGAGTTCAAATAAAAAGCTCTTCTGCTGTGGTTCACTACGTTAGCTGTCAGTGTTAGCATGTTAGCCTGCTGCTGCTCTGGATACGTTCTCCTCCACGTTGCTCCTCCTGCTGCTCTGGATACGTTCTCCTCCACGTTGCTCCTCTCCAACACCCTCCTCCTGTCTGCCTCTGATGCGTTTCACGTTCTGCAGCCATCGAGGCGAGCGGCAGGTTCAGAGGTTGTCGGCGTGCAGATGCTGTGTTTGTGGATCCGGACTGTACGGTGTCAGCAGTGTCACTTGACACTGAGTCTGTTCAATGTCAAGTGACAGCGCGAGTCTGCTCACAGTCCCCGCTGCCTTCTGCCGAGCTCGGCTCTGATTTATGATGCGCTCCTTCGTTCTGTTCTGCGGCGACTCCTTCCTCCAGAAAAACCAACAAGCCCCGCTTCCTTCCTGGTGAGATTAGTGCTGACGTTCTGCTGATGTCTGCCAACGTTCAATACTTTCCATGATGGAGGGAGGCCTTTAGAAACAGCCACTCAGACAGATGGATCTTCTATAAATCCCAAAGTAAACTGTTGTGTTCCAGCTACTGGTAGCTACTGGTGACGCTAAGCATACGCCGGCGCTTCACACGAAGGCTGCACTACATGTTGTTTCAGCGTCGACACGCAACATGCGCAGATTAACTGGAACGGATCGGCCTGCAGAACGGCGTACGGTCTTATTTTCCAAGAAAACGTCTGCTTGCTTAAACATCATTCACTCAGATTTAAGACTTTGCTTATTTGAAAA